GATCCAGTCTCGTGGGATCCTGCAGATCCTTGTCCTGCCTTGGAGATATTTGCTACCTATTTTCTAACTGTGGTCCAAATTAAGGGGAGACTGTCCAGATTTGCTGCCGAAGACATCAGTCTACCAGAAGTACCAGAACATTACTGAAGTCCTTGAGCCATGTTAGAAACCTAAAACAGCAATTAAGATTATATTTTAGAAGTTTTTGAAGGGACCACTTAAAAAATGGCTCAGTTTTGGAAATGAAATCTCAACAAAATGGAAAAACTTAAGTGTGGTGACCAACTACTACAAATGGTACACAATCAACCACCCTAGCCATAGTGGCCAACAACAATAAACCTTTATTCCTACATTCATGGGTCTTCTGGTTGATGTCAGGCTAGTATGAGAGGGACATCAGCTGTATTTGGCTGTAAGCTGAGGGTTCAAGTTTGCTCACTGTGTGCGTTCAGGGACCCAGGACGAAGGGGTGTTGATTCCCAGGGCCATGATCACTGCCGGGCAGCAGAGCAAGTGAAACCATGTGATTCTCATCTGCATCTCAGCCTGCAAGGTTCACACTATCACTTCCATATCTCACTGACTGAAGCAAGTCACATAACCAACCAATGTCTGTGGTGTGAAGAAATACCCTCTACCTCTAATGACAGGAATCGGAGAGTCTCAGCCCTTAAGATTTGAATGTATATGAGTGTGTGAAGAGTTGGAAATAAAGATTCAGTTACCCGCATTGAGTAACAACAGATATATGCTAGACTACTTATAAATTGAGATTACAAGCTACAGGGGTGATTGTTTTGCTGAGTAAGGCTGTATATTAGGTCCCGTATTAGTCAGGGTTCTACTGAGAAACAGCACCAATGGGATGTGTGTGTGTATGTATGATATATACATACATGTATGTATATATGAGACCTGTAATCATGGAGGCTGACCAATCCTAAAATCTGTGGGGTGAGTAGGCCAGCCGGAGCTCCAGGAGACCTGAGGGCGTGGTTTAGGCCTGAAGGCTGGCAGGCTAGAGATCCAGGGAAAGAACCAGTGCTGCAGTTCCAGTCTGAAGGCACAACAAAAAGCCAGTGTCCCAGTTTGAAGGGCATCAGGAAGAATTCTCTCTGACTCAGGGAGGCCAGCATTTTTGTTCTATTCAGGCCTTCAACTCATTGGATGAGGCTCACTTTAGGAAAGGCCATATACTTTTCTCAGTATACCAGTTTAAATGCTAATCTCATTCAAAAACACCATCATAGAAACACCCAGAATAATGTTTGACCAAATATCTGAGCACTCTATGGCCCAGTCAAATTGATACATAAAATTAGCCATCACAAGCCCTGTTTTTTTTTGTTGTTTATGTGTTGATTTTTCATGACAAGATGAGAGTAGCTGAGTGAACATTCACTCCGTTTATGTCTTTTTCTTACTGAGTTCTCTAACTCTTCTCTAAATAAATAGTAAGCCAGCCAAACTTTGAAGAGTATAGGTTTCAAGGGATTCCAAATCATTAGCTCGCCTTGAGTGCCCATTAAACTTGGTCTGGCTGTGTTCCTAGGGTTTGTGCATGTGGCACTTGGCAACTTGAGAAAGCAGTAGTTCCCTTTCCTCCAAGAGAGAGCCACACTCTGTGGGAACCTTAAGTCTTCATTCACATGACCTCATTGTGGAACTCAACATAAAAACAGTGGGTAGAGATCTCTGAGGCTACTTAATAGTATGGTGGTGCATGAAGTTTCTCCTTTTGGGTGTGGTACATAGAAGTTGTGGTGACATTTTTGCTGCTTTCACATGGTGAACCAATGTGTGAGTCAATAAGTGGATTTTTGTGATTTTCTTATGCATTTGCATAATAATAGGAGTGTCCAAAGAGCAGGTTGACACATCCTGCCTTGAGAAGAACAAAATGTCTGAGGAAGACTGTCACCAGTTGAAGTGACATCTTTGGAGTACATTAAAAGTGAGATTATTTGGAACCCAAATGTATGAAATGTCAAGAGAGAATAGGCAAAAGAAGTTTCAGTCTCAGTCCAAATAAAATGATCTAAATTTAATGAACACATAAGACTATATAATCAGTTTTTACAATTGCCTTTAGGGAGAAGAATAATATATAAGAGGCTAGTAGAAGATTCAAGAGAAATAAAAACAGTCCTGGGCATAAAGAAGTTGTAGTTTTCTATGGTTAAAGAACATATGGTAAATGTGTGAAGATGAGGCTGCAAAGACAAGCTATGGCTTTTATCACTGAGGGCCTTGCTGGTGAGGCTAGGGAAATGTTGAGTTTCTGGAAAATTTGCACTGATGATAATGAACAGAACAAAGGGAGCTCTGATCAGAATTTTAAAAAGATCTAAACATTGAAAATGTTCTGGGGGTACCTTTTATGCAAATCAAACTATACACAATGCATACACAAATGAAATTAAAATAATGTCTACAACTTAAATGTCATAATTTTAAGTTCTTTGCAGAGATTCTAATTTTAAAAATCTGGATAAATTCATTGAGCCTAAGCTTTTCTCATATTTTATATTGCATTTGCTTTACTGACAGTCACAGAACATGATTTTATTGCACGCTAGGTCATCTAGCATCCCATGAGATTGGAACTAAGGCATTAGTAGTGCAGATGCATGGACAGCAGAAAATTTTAGGAGGTAGGGTTGAAGAACTTGGTGACTGACTGGCAAAAGAGAGGGTCAGGGATTTGGATGTTTCTAGCTTAGAACCATGGGTAGATTAAAATAAAAACACTTGAAAGAAAGCAAACATTTGGAAGCATATGGTAAATCTAAAATGTAGATTAATGTTTTTGTATCACGTGGAAGTGGTTTGAAAATAAGTGTCCTGGTAATAAGACTCTTTTTCTCAATTTTTATGGACTAAGGTTGTGTTTTTGAAAGTGACAATTTAAGTAATTTTTTCAGAGCCTAATTCAAATTTGAGATTCAGAATCAAAATTTTACCTTTTTTATGACAAACATCATTTATTTGGAGAAAGGTTTAGCATTCGTTACCTAATTGCAAGCATTATTAATTCAGTTGTGTATTATTCGTGATGCCTATGAATGCCTTAAATTTCCCAGGCCAATGCCAATGATGAATGTGAGCAGAAGACTTAGAAATAATAATAAAGGAACCAAATAGTTTCAAAGTTCTAAAGAAATCATTCCTACAGATTTCTGAAATTGCCTTCATTCACTTGACAAATGTTCCTTTGACATAAACAGATACACAGAACTCTGTTTGTAGTCCTATTCTCTGCTATGTGTATGAAAGTGTGTAATCCATTTTTTATGTACTAGTGTGTCTTTGACCTGAATTTATATTGAGAAGGTTGGAATTAAATGAAAGTAATAATGAGGTAATTTTTTTGTGGTATTGCTAATCATGGTACACTTCAGAATGTTGTTTGTGAATATTAACAGAAGTAGAAGAAGATATCACACTAATTCAGGACATGAATTCTGGCATACACACATAGGCTTTTCTCTCCTCTTTCTCTTTCTCCTTCTTTTCCTCCTCTTCATCTTTTTTTCTTTCTCCATGTCCATGAGTATCAAATGCAAAAATACAAAAGGCAAATGGAGCTTACTTCTCAGGTCCTTACTGTTGTTGATCCAGCAGTCTCCTGACATAGTTTTCTTTTTTTGCCCTGGGAAAACATCAGCATGAAGATGGTGACCCTGTACACTTGCTTTAGATGAGGGTAAACAGAATACGATATTACTTGCTTGAATGAAGTAGACTATCCCATGGAGGAGAATAATAGCTGTCTTCTAGTTTCTGTTTTTCTAAAAAGAACAGTGAGGACTAAAAAGGAGAAAGAACTGGAGAGTAGGGTGAAAGATGATTACCTTAAGGATTAGCACTGTTACCCTGGAGAAGTCTGCAAATACTGTTTCTAAGTGATGGGTTGAATGTCTCCGGAGTAAAATGAATTTCAACTAAGGGATTAGCAGTAAATCTTTACAAGAAAATATCTCTCAGTTATTCATTATGATAGTCTGATTTCAATAAGAATGGATATTGTTTCACTCATTAACCATGCTTCTGTATTAATGTTATTTTAGAAGATCAGAAAAAATATACCATTTTTTGAAAAAGTTCAAATTTTGCTAGTTTGATCACACATTCAACTATTTTAGTTAAAAAAAATCATCAAAAATGGTTCTTAATCAGTGAAACACAACATTTTCCTGGCCTTCTTAGTGACTTTACAAATTGAAATATTTTAAGTGTTTTAGCAAGAAACCTAGTAGATACAGATTTTGTAGATGCCTCATACATTGCTATATACTCCTCTTGGCATTTATTTTGAAAAAGTAATCAGAAACACATTGCATGCTCAAGGAACAGCATATATGCTACAGGTTAACACGGTAATGGCTCTGACCTTTAACCCTGATGCAACTGTTCTATCCTAACAGCTCTTTGTGAAAGGACACCAAATACTGAAGAAATTGGAAAGGTTAACAAAGTTAGCGGACAAAATAAACTTGATACTGAGAATGAACTTTCACATGTAGCAAAAAAATAAACACTATTCTCTTAGGCTGATCATCAAAGGATGTTTAAGATGCCTATATGCTTCTTAGTGCTAAGTTCATACTCTCTTCTGAGAATTGTTTATATAAAGGGTTACCAAATTCATAGTGAGCCAATTATTGTGAATTCGTAAGAACTAATATGTATGGGATCATTTTAAAATAACTGAAGTCCTAGCATCACTGGGGTGGCATTAATACTTAGGAACTTGCTATTTTTTCAAGTCATTTTCATGACATCCAATTATAAGAGGCATCCTTAAACCTCGTTATATAGGCTTGAGTGAATTATTCCCCTACATAATTTACAGAATTTAAGTGCAAAATATAATCTGAATTCTTGGCTGCTGTAAAGTAATATAAAGCCAGAGTTCTGTTACTGACACATTTTAGTTCACAGCTCAGACTGACTCTGCAATGGGAATTACATATCAGATTACTTTTTTCTTGTAGAAATGGAAAAGAGAAAAGTTACTGTAAAACTCCATGTGATCATCTAGAACACAGTGTGAAAAGGCCATTAAAATGCTGGAAAGGTAAGTGTGTTTTTGACTAGTTACGGTTAACATCTGAAGAGATTCACTAGTATTTCCCCAAATCCATATGTCATACTAAAGATGGAAAGATGGTTTCTCTCTCCTGCACACAGTGCTCCTTAAAAGAAATATCCCAGACTAAAACTCACCAAAGCACTCAAGATGTAATTTTTTTTAAATGAGAAGTACAGATTAGGGATTTCTTATCCCCCTGTATCAAGAAAATAATGTTTACATGAGAGGAAAAGGAAAGGATAGACAAGAATGGTCAAGTCTGGCTTTGTATTTAAAAATCCATTCCTTGAAGGCTTACAAAAATGAAACTTCAGCTGGTCTTATTTTTTAACCCAACAAAGTTCCACTTGTTACATAACTCATTTTACTAATTTATTGTTGGGCTTTGAAAAAGCTTCTCCATTTTGCCAGTCTTTCAAAGTATTGGTTGATGTGGCTAGCAGTCTTTCGGAAAACACCAGGATTAAGAAGGTATTTGCACACCTGCAAAGCTCATTTAATGACTAAAATTGCAAATGCTGCACAAGTAAAACAAAAAATACATATATTTTAGGTTATTTAGTGACCACAGCCATATAACACTATTCAGGCATCCAAGAATGTATGTCTATATATTATGTATTCCAAAATGTAGTTTTGAATGATTATTTCTGCATGTCAAATATTTTGATTTGCTGAAAGAGATAATAAAAATCCTTAACAGAAATGGACAACTATATGAAAAAATGACTGAACAACAAAAACATTAATAATAGACTTTAGAGATCTTGGAAGTCTTAAAGTCAAAGGATAAATGAAAAGAGAAGAAAATACATGTAAATAAAGATGGACAGCATGGCTGATAATTTTTCTAAGGACTTGCATTCAGATGCATTACCTTACATACTTGGACTAAGTAAATTAACTTCCCTGGGAGGTATTCTCTGGATGACTCACCCACCTTTCCAGATGTATAATTTTGTTATTTAAAACTTTTTAGTATTGATTGATTGGTTGATCAAGAGATTTTCATTTTAATGATTTCTAGGTTCCTGAAAATTCTCTCTCTTCTCATAAATTCATTTTAACTGAGGGCTGAGTCTCACCCTGAACTGATTATGGCTTTTTAAGAAGATAGTTTCTGGTGGGGAGGTAGAGCAGGGTTAGAGATCAAGGACTGAAATCATAACCAGAGCAATCGATACCATATGGGAATTCTACCTACTCACTTCTGAAGCCCATGGTAGACATAACTAATGGTTTAGGGAACTTGGATATAGTCTCAGAATCTTCCTTGAGTCTGGCTGTAGGCAGCAACCAGTAGGCCCTTAAATTGGCTCAAATGGTGAAACCTGTTTGCCATCCTGCAGTGATTCACACTCTGAACTTTCATATTTACTTCTCCTTTCTTCCATGGAGAGAGAACATCACTGTCAGCTTCACTGGTGTGAGAGATAGTCCTGGAGAAGGACATACAGAGACATAGTGCAACTTTTCTAAAGCTGTAGAACTATACCAGACAATCCCCTTCTGATTAAAAGAGGATTTATCAAAATTTCCCTAGGTGACTGCACTAGTGGAGGGGGTGAGGATTTAATAATGTGGGGAACTGTTGACCCACTGTGTTGTATACTTTAAACCATTGTAAGAGTGTATATAAACTATACTTCAATAAAAATAAATGAATAAATAAATAAACTTTGTAAACCCTAGTTTCCTCAACTGTAAAAAGGAAATAATATCTACCTGTGAGGAACAAATGAAATAACTATGTGAAGCAAAAAGAAAAATTTTTTCCTTATCAGATTATAATCTCTTTTATTTCTAAATCATTATTCTCATCCCATGTTCACTGTAACACAGCAAATTAATCAGATTATTGAGTTAATCCAAAATGGAATTCTTCAAGATGTTAGATGTTCACTGACTTTTATTTGTGACAATTATTATAGTTTATACTACTTATCATAATTTTACTGTGGGTACAGGGAAAGAGAAACAAAATTTGCATATGAATCTATGAGTTTGATGCTGTTGATTTAAGGAGGAAAATGATCCTTGAAGACCTTAAAATCAGAGCTTGCTAGAAATTAGCATTGAATGCATTAATGCCCTGCATATATTTTTCAAACTGTGAACAGTTTGCTGCCTAATTTTTAACATTATTTGTGTCTCAGTTTTCCATTCAGAAAACTGTTGACTTTGTAAAGTGTTAATGTTAAGTGAATGGGTACTAAATTATAGATAAGAGGCTGCAAAGGAATGGAGATTCTCATGTGTGTGTGAGAGCACATCTGTAAAATGTAGTCTAGCTTTGACTTCAATCTGTTTTCCCTAGTGTGACTCCCTCAGTCATCACCTGGTTAGTGTTACTGACTCCCAGCTATGTGAAACACTCCAACCATTGGAATTCCTTTTGGAACACATACAATCCAAATCTTCCAATTCAGATTATACGGTTGGGCCTAAGACAGTTAAGAAGCCAGGGAGGAAAAACCTGAAGGCTGTCTGTGGCTAAGGGTTTGGTGTTGTGGGGTTGTGGGTACAGATCTGGGGTGTTAGTTAATATGGGAAGATATTCTGGTTACATCCAGTGTGACATAACCAAACTTGCAAAATCTCTCTCTCTTTATGTCTCTAGCAGTTGCCAGCTAACCTTCCTTCCAGTGTAACCTGAGTTAGGTTACCTTAGATAAACCAGAATGTCAGTTTCTCTGCAGTTTTTCACCCTTACCTTCACTCACCGAAGTCTAAATAAAAATTCATTCTAACTTTATTGGCTTACTTGGTTATATAGGAAGTGTGTGTCTGCTCATCTCTTTTCACCAAAACTCTTGAACTCCTTAAACCCAATTGCCACAAAATTGCTATGGGTGGAAACCTTTCATTACTTCTTTCATTATTGCTTTTGTTTTCTAATTTTTGGACTTTTAAAATTTCAAATAAAATTCACATACCATAATACTCACCACTTCAGTTGTTTTTAGTGTAATCAGAGTTGTCCAACCATCATGACTATCTAATTCCAGAACATTTTCATCATCCCAAAAAAAACCTTGTATCCGTTAGCAGTTTCTCCTCATTCGCCCCTCTTCCCTGCTTCTGGCATCCATTAATCTGTTTTCTGTCTCTATTAATTTGCCTATTTTGAACATTTCATAAAAATTGAATCATAACATAGGCGGCCTTTTGTGACTGGCTTCTTTTACTTGATATAATATTTAATGTTCATCCCTAGTTGAATAATATTCCATTGTATGGATATAATACATTTTATTTACCCATTCATCACTTAATGGGGAAATGGTTTACCTTTTCTCTCTTTCTCTTATTTCTTTCTCTCTCTTGCCCCATATTATTCTGGTTTTTGTTCTTATATTTATTACAGGTTAATCTCACATATTGAAAGCCCTAGTATTACCTTCTAAACTTGCTTCTCAAACTTTAATGTGTATGTAAAACACTTAGAGCTCTTTTTGAAATGTAGACTCAGGTTCAGGAGGTCAGGGGTGAGCCCATGATTCCGCATTTAACAAGTTCCCAAGTCAGGCTGATGCTGATCTTGAGCACCAGGACCACTCCTTGAGTACCAAGGATACCAACTATAGGTTCCATGGAGAGGGAGTGTTCTCTAAGTAGGTTAGTTCATGCCAGGCATATTTGTAGTTGCTTTCACAAACTTTATCTAAATATTTTATTAATAACTATCATATACATGTTCAGCTGCTTTCACAGTATTTAAGCAAGATATATTACAGTAGTTTGAAATAGGGGTTGGCAACTTAAGGCCTGTGATTTTTGCCTGCCACTTGTTTTTGTAAATAAAACTTTATTAGACTGAGTTACATCCATTCATTTGCGTTTTGTCCACAGCTGCTCTACACTGCAATGGCAGAGTTGAGTAACTATTACAGAAACCTAATGGCTTGCTAATTGTGACTGAGACCACATGGCCTGCAAAGCCTAAAATATGTACTATACAGCTCCTTACAGAAAAAAATTGCCAACGTCTGTTTTAAAGACATACTACATTATGAAACAATTTAAATCATTTTTCTAAGGCAAATCTATGCATAGCCTAAAAGACTTAGGGCATAGAACTACAATAATTCACCAAGAATATTTCTTCAAGATGAATTCATGTTTGCCAAGGCCATTTCATATATGTACCACTTTATAATGATGGTACAACTAAAACATAAAAGTACATTCAATATTTTCAACCACTTGAACATTTAAAGTTTGGTTTAACTCAACTCTCTGTCAGTTCTATGAATGCACCCAAACAGCTGAATATGGCTGGAAGAAGTGACAAGCAGTGGTCACACAATAATTTTATGATCACTAAACTCAACTAGGTCCTTAATGAAGCATAGGAATTAATTCCCTAATCCATTTGCATTTGCACACTCCTAGATGACTATCTATGCCTTTTCCCCTGTGCTCAAATTTACAAACACTTCCTCTCCCATCCTCAGTCTTACCTGGGGAACAGTTCTTTCTACTAAGAAGATAAAATATCTCAGAAAAGAACTTCCATTTGTATATCATGGCCTCATCTCAGCCTCTGTACTCTCATTTCACCAGATGAATTATTTGTGCTCTTGACCAGACTCTACTTGTGCACCACATTCCTACCTCTGTCACCGATTTCAGAACATCATGACAGCACTTTTTTTGCTCCTGCGTTTTGGATTTGGCCACTCCACTAGATTTTTTTCCCGTCAGTAACAAACCTGTTCTTATTTCTTGCATCTTAAAATAAAACAAGACTTTCTTGACTCTACTTGCTTTTCCATGAGCACCCATTCTTTCCTTCCCTTGACCACAAATGTCTGAAAAGTTGGCCATACTGAGTCTCCAGATCTCTCCTTCCATTCTCTGCTGAGCCTGCCCTTAGCTTTCATCTCCCTATGCTTCTCTAGGAATTTGATTAAGGCCTCCAATGACCCTCCCCCTGTACAAAACTCCAATAGCCATTCTCACTACTGCATTTGTCAGCGGCC